TCTCCCTCCCCCACCTCATTCTCTTCCTCTTCCCCTTCCCTTTTCATGAAAGTGTAATTTAATTCACAGATGGTCAATGCACATAGGATGTTCTGTAACCTGATGGAATGTTTCCCAAACTTTATTTATTCATGTGCCACCACCTGATTTTGACCAAAGCCTCTTACCACTTGTATTATTATTCACTCCATTTTAAAAATCAACTTGTGGCTGGGCACAGTGGCTCATGTTTATAATCCTAGCACTTTGGGAGCCGAGACAAGCAGATCGCTTGAGCTCAGGAGCTTGAGACCAGCCTGAGCAAGAGCAAGATGCCATCTCTACTAAAAATGGAAAAAATTAGCTGGGCATGGTGGCACACACCTGTAGTCCCAGCTATTCCACAGGCTGAGGCAAGAGGATCACTTGAGCCCAGGAGTCTGAGGTTGCAGTGAGCTGTGATGACTGCACTCTAGCTAGGACAACAGAGTGAGACTTTCCCTCAAAAAAATAAAAATACACTCACTTTTAGATCCCTTCCCTCTCTTCCCCTACTCTACAGCTTATAATAAGGAAAAAAGATAAATCAGTACCCAAGAATTGTTTTCGAGTAAATGCAGCAGGCATCTCACTCTAAATGTAGCCAGGCCTTACTCTTTGAAACACTTTATGTGCATTAGGTAATTTATTTATTCTTTCCTCCCATATTTATTAAACCCCTGCTGTGTGCCAAGACGTTCTAGGTATTATAACACAGAAGTGAACAAAACAGACAAAATCTCTTCCGTCAGAGAGCTAACACTGTAGGGGGAGAGGCGGATAACAAACTAATCAATAAATTAGAAAAAAATGACATAATGCAGGTGCTTTGCAGAGACTAAAAGTGAAGGCATAAAGCAGGGGTGGCAACCTATGGCATGAGGGTCGAATCTAGCCTGCCACCTGCTTTCGTAAATAAAGTTTTATTGGCACACAGTCACGCTCCTTCATTGACATATCATCTATGGCTGCTGTCATGCTACAATGGCAGACTTGAGTAGTTACGACGAAGATCTTCTGGTCCAAAAAGCCTGAAATATTTACTCTCTGATCCTTTTACAGAACAAGTTTGCCAAGCTATAGGATAGAAAAAGACTGGGTGACTCCTTTAAATAGGGGGTTCATAAAACTCTTCTCAAAGAAAAGGATGTTTGAGGCAATCTGTCACCATCGAATGGTACCTTTTCAGACATCACATGGAAAACAGGCATGTGTCAACTGTCCCTTTTAAGGAAGAATGTCAAGAAATCCTATTGGAACCTAAGTGGATATCACAAAATCTGTATTCCTTTTAAGGTTTCAACTTTATTCCGCTTTATTGCCTGATCAGTGATCAAGGAAGATCTTTTCATTCTAGAGTCTTCTAGAATCTTCCTACTTTGAAAATGTTTTAAGTTCCCATCCCTTGGTCTAGTAACCTAGAAATCAGACAATGATGCCTAGAATTTGGAGTCAAGAGAATCTATCGCAGGCACAGTACCTGTTGTGGCTCCCTTGAAAGCGTAAGCACAGTTGATATCCATCGTGTTGTTTCCAGCTTCCAGAAGAGTCTTCTCGCCTGTCTCATTGCACCTTTTGGTTTCATAGACTGAAAACATGAAGAAAGTGAGTCCTTTTGTACTTACTTCCCATGACTAAAACACTTGTTGAGGAGCTCCCTTCTTTGGAAGACCCCCTACTGCAGATTCCATCTCCCCAGTGCGGGGTAGACCAGGTGGCATTGCCCCTCCACATCTCTGGCTGGTGGGAGTGAAGCGGTGACAATGTCCAGAGCAAGACACACACTGGCCACACAACCCAGAAGATGACAGGGGATGGCTGTGCCTCCCTGAGCTAGAACTAAGGAGGGTTCGAATTCAGCATTTACCACAGGCTACTTAAGGAGCAAGTGAAAAGTGAATTAGTGATATTGGAGTCCCTGTTAAGGAGGAACATAATCTTTCTAAGCAAGAGTAGCTAAGCATTAAAAAGTTTTCCAAGTAAAATCACTAGGGGCAAATCTGTTGCATTGAAGAAGAATCCTTTGAGTAAACTCTATCCATATCATATAAGACCGTAAACACAAGATCTGATGCAAGATTATCCTCATAAATTTTTTCGGTACAAGGACTTTGTCTCTGGACAAGTAAGAATATTGCCCTAGGAGCTATGGCAGACAGCTCAGTGCCCCCAGTCACCATTGACCCCATCTTTGTCTGGGACTAGGACTACCAAATTGAAGCTGAACACAAATCATTTTCCAGCTTCTCTTGCAGCTAGGTGGAGCCATGCAACTATTTGCAGGCCAATGGATGGAAAATCAGACTGATGTGTCCTACAGAAAATGACCATCCTTTCTACTTCTCCTTTTTTCCATCTCCCATTGGCTGGTAAGAGGATGTGGAAGTAGAGCAGCCATCTTACAACATGAGATGGAAGTTGAATGTTGAAGATGGCAGAGCACAGAGTACCCATGGAACAGCCACATCAGCTTTGTTATACCACTTAATTTGGAATCATACAGATATCATACAGATATTAAGTTCACATGAAACCGTTGTCAAAATAGACTATAAGACAAGTCTCAATGAATTCAAAAGGATTGAAGTTTTAAAGAGTATGCTCTCAGACAAGAACATATCAAACAGATTATACACCATGACCATGTGGGATTTATCCTTGGTATGCAAGTCTGGTTCAACATACGCAAATCAATCACTGGGCTCCACCACATTAACAGGACAAAAGACAAAAATCATGTGATCATCTTAATTGATGTGGACAAAGCATTTGACAAAGTTCACATCCTTTCTTGATAAAAATCCACAATAAAATTAAATAAGAAACTATTAATGCAAAGGCACCAGAAAAGTTCAAATATTTGGGAATGAAACACACATTTCTAAATAACCCATAAATCAAGAGATAAATCTCACAGAAAGTTTTAAAATACTTTTCATTGAATGATAATGAAAGCCCAACATCTCGAAATTTGCAGGATGCATCCAAAGAAGTACTTGGAGGTAAATGTATAGCTCTAATTTGTACTAAATTTGAAGAATTTAAATGCATTCATTAGAAAAAGAGGATGCCTTAAAAATCAATGATCTAAGTTATCAAGTCAAAAAGTTAAAAAATTAAATATGAAATACAAAGAAAGTAGAATGAAATAATAAAGAGCAGAAATAAATGTAAAAGAGAATGTTGGTACTTTAAGACAGGGGTCTACCAACCTCCTCATTTGCTGGCAAATTAATAAACTTCTCTTTTCTTCTACTCAAAAAAAAAAGAAAGAAATGTAAAAGAAAGCAGAAAAATGATACAAATAATCCACAAAGCCGGCTCTTTGAAATTATTAATATAACAGATGCAGAGGTTAAGGCTACACCACAGTCCCTGACACAGAGCCATTAAAACCCTTGTAATGTCCTGAGCAATAGGCACCATAGGAAAATCTTTTGTTCTGATATTCGGTCTTCGTTTCTGACACACAGCTCCTAAGACCTGTGAGATTTCCTGAGGATCAGAAGCATGTGACTCAACTCCTAAATCCCTTGGAATTTCCTGGGCATCTTACGTTCTAACCAGGTGACTCTTAGCCACCTCCTGTGGGCTGAGGATGGGAGCTGGTTGCCAGGGAAACCAACCATGAGATTAAAGGCTTGGAACTTTCCACACCACACCACCTACAGGGAGGAGGAGAGGATGAATGTTGAGTTGATACCAGTGGCCAATACTGTAATCAATCGTGTCTAAGTAATAAGGCACCCATCAAAATCCAGAAGAATGTGGTTCTAGGGGCTTCCAGGTAGCTGAAAATTTGGAGGTTCCTGGGGCGTGACACACCCAAAGAGGGCTTGAAAACTCCACACCCCCTTCTCCCACACCTTGTTCTATGCATCTCTTCTATCTGACTGGTCATTTGTATCTTTTGTAATATCTTTTATAATAAATGGATAAATGCAAGTAAAGTGCCTTCCCGAGTTCAGTGAGCAAATTAATCAGATCCAAGGAGGGAGGTCTTGGGACTCTGATTTATGCTGGACACGGTCAGAAGTAGAGGTTACAACCAGGGACTTGCAATTGGTGTCTGAACTGGAAACGTTCTTGTGGGACTAAGTGCACAAACTGTGGCATCTGGTGCTGTCTCCAAGCAGATAATGTCAGAATTGAATGACAGGACACCCATCTGGTGTCTGCTGGAGCATTGCTTGCTCAGTGTGGAAGAAAAAATCTACACATATTTTTATGACCAAAGATGAAGTATTCTGTGTTGTCCTACATATGTGAGAGTAGAGTAGGAACATAACCCAAAGTGATTTCCTTTCTACCAGCCATGGTAGGATGGTGGATATGTTCTTAAGTAATTTTCACAATACTAAGGGAGGTTGGAATGGAGAAACGAGCTGGTTTATTTTCTCGTCCCTTGAATTTACATTTTTGAAGGTAGAGCCCTGCTCATGTAATGTTAGCATAGAAGACTGTGATTCTGGGAGCCCATAGATTTTATGACTCCTAGGCCCTGCCCAGGCCAGAACCCAGATCTCTTGCTGGAGGTCACAGGAGTCTACTCAGTGCCTCTTACCTATACCAAGCGTATAATTTTCACCATATCCTGGAGAAACAAAACTCAAATTCCAGACACTCAATTCCATTCTCTGGAGTAGTTGAGTAACCTCTCTTGCAAGGTCCTTTCTGCTTCCGTTCTTCCTCAGACTTTCCTTTGAAAGAAATAAGGCTAATTAGGTAGACTCTCACGGAAACTTCAGAAAGCAAGAATATGCATAAATGTGGGAGGGGTGAGCCCAGAAGACAATATTGATTAAGGTGCTAGTAGGTGGGGTGAACATGAGGTTCCAGACACTGGCACAGGTCTTTAAATGACAGCTGAGGCATTGTCCCTCTTTCCGGAGTTTCTTAATTTCTACTGACATCTGAGACCGGTCAATGCTTGGTTGTGGGAGGCTGTCCTGGGTATGGTAGGATGTTGAGCTGTGTCCCTGGTCTCTATTCACTAAATATCAGCACCACCCCTTCCCCCTAAAGTTTTGACAACCAAAAGTGTCCCCAGTCATTGACAGATGACCCTTGGGGTAGAGGACAAAATCATCCCTGGATGAGAACTACTCCATCCTAAAAATCACAGGGAACCTGCTAGTGTTACAGTAGGAGATGATGTGGTGAGATGGACCAGCTGCTTCCCAAACCCAGGCTTCACCCACTTACCCAAATATTCACTGGTGACTGTTCCCTTCCACTGCTGCTCTCTGGAGGGGGGGAAAAGTAGCCATGAAATGGGATATAGGAGAAAACCCACCCTAGCTCACATCTTCTTCCAATCAGCCTCAAACTGGGTCTTTCCCTGGTGCTTCTGCAACCCACCCCAATTCCCACCTAAGAAATCCAAAATGTGTTCTACAGTAGATTATAAAAGCGAGTTAGAATGCAGCTTCCAGTTTAATACTTCAGGCAACAGTGTTTACTGAGCACCTACTCAACACCAGACACGAGGCTAAACCACATGGATAGGGGTTAGTAAAAGGGACCAAGGGTGTCCTCTTTGGAGTTTCCAGTCTGGAAGGAAAGGCATTAAGCAAACAATTACAAATCGATAATTAAGAGATTGACAGTGATGCTCTTAATAAATAGAACATGATGACATGGGGACACACAGCAGAGAACCCCAACACATCAGGGTTGTGTGGAAGGTTTCCTGAGGGAATCAGTGTTACTAGAGTTAATAAAATAGAAGCAGTTGTCAACACATTACATCTACACTGTCTCATTTAAGAGAATGCAGAAGGTTCTACAACAGGCTTATGTAGCATAAGAGCTAATACTGAGCCCTCCTAGGTACCTAGGCCTGCTAAGCATTTCACATGCATTAAAAATCATAAAGAATAGGTTATGGGTACTAGGTTGCTAGGGCTGCCATAACATAGTGCCACAAGCTCGTGGCTTAAAGCAACATAAATTTACTGTCTCACAGCTCTGGAGGATAAAAGTCCATAGTCAAGGTGTCAGCAGGACCATGTTTCCTCTAAGAAAGGTGCTAAGGAAGCATCTTGTCTTGCTTCTTCTAGCTTCTGGTGGCTGCCAGCAATCTTTGTCCTTCCTGGAGTTGTGGCAGCACAACTCCAGTCTCCGTCTACACAACTCCAGTCTCTGTCCACACGTGGCCATCTTCCCTCTGTCCTTGTGTCACTGTTTCCTAATTTCCCCCTTTTTATAAGAACACCAGTGATATGGGATTTAGGGTCAACCCTGAACTAGTACGACCTCATCTTACTTGATTACATCTGCAAAGACCCTATTTCCACATAAGATCACATTCACAGGTTCCAGGTGGACATGAATTTGGGGAGCACAGTATTCAACCCAGTAACCCAGATTCTGAAATGGCTTCAAATTATCCCTACCTCTTGGGATTCACATTCTGTGTAATCTTCTCCCATTGACTGTGGACTGGACCCAGTGACTCATTACTAAAGAACAGTATACACCAAAGTGATAGGATGTCACTTCTACAATCAGGTTATAAAAGACTATGACTTTTCTGTTATTCACTCTCTCTGGCTGTGTTCAGTTGCTTACTGTAATAAATCCAGTGAGAGACGCCCATATATCTAGGAACTGATGGCTGCTTCCCACCAACCACTAAATCCTGAGGGCTTCAGTCCAAGGGCTTTTAATGAACAAAATCTTTCCAGCAACCCTGTGAGTGAGGTTGGAAGCAGATCCTGCGCTAGTCAAGCCTCCACACGAAACCATAGTCCGGAAAACACCTTGATCGCAGCTGTGATAGACCCTGAACCAAAGGACCCAGCTAAGCCACAGCTGGACCCACAGAAACGTTGAAAAAATAAATATGTGTTGGTCAAGCCACTAAATTTGGGGGGTAACTTGTCATGCAGCGACACATTCCTGACACTGGACATCTTAGTGCTACTCCCACTTACAGAGGAGGCACATAGAAGTCAAATCAGTAACTCAGAGCCAGCTAGGGAGGGAATGAGGCAGCACTTACATCCAATCCATCCAACTCAAAACATGGAATTACTCTAGCATTGAACAATTAGATAAATATATTGTGGGTAGTAGGAGCCAGGATTCTCATTGTTGGAGAAAGAACTTACAGATAAGGAACTAGGAAGGTTGAGAAAAGCCTTGGTATTGCGCTGGCATCAGAGCTAACGGCCCGAACTCATGGGCTTTGGGACATACATAGACAGAAAGACAGACGTAGGAATTGAATTTAAGGTGAGTGAGAGTGAAATAAGTAGACAAGTCCAGGAAAAAAAAAGTCGGAGATGTCTTTTTCAAGCTGAGGAAAGAGACCTGTGTAGGAGACATAAACTGTAAGGCATCTACACAGAGATGGTTATGTATGTCATGGGCTTGGGTAATGTCTCCTTGGACAATGAGGACAACAAAGGAAAGAGGGATGG